GGGGGGGTCACATGGTGGACAGCCCTCATAGCCAATCAGTGGCGAGAGGCAGAGCCACTGGGGTCCCTCGGCCAGTGGGAGGCATGGGGGGCCCACTGCACTATACCCACAAAATGTCTGATGGGCTCTGCATTCTGCCTGCAAAATTGGTGGGCAGCCCCCTCAAATTCCATAGGTCCTTAATCATATGTTATGAACTGAAAGCTTTGAGCTGGAAGCACAAAGAACTGGAGAAGGCTAACTGTTCTTTATTACAATTATTATTACAAGACAGTGCTATGGGCCAGATCTGGCCCACAAAGCCATATCATCCAGTGCACAGGACTTCCCACAGGTTTGGAAGTTTGGGAGTGAGGGATGTGTCAGCATTAATTGCCACTCCCCTTCTTCCAAACTTCTGGACCCCTGGGAAGCCCCACATACTACATAATGTGGCTCTACATGCTAGACTGTGCCTATGTAGGGTCTCTCTAACACACTGCCAGTTAGGCATTCAGTGTCACTAGCACACTGGATTTCACCTGCAGACCAACTCCATGTGCCAACCCCATACAGGATCCAGCCCATGGACCAACTCCACATCACTCCTCTAGTCTATAGGACCAGAAGGTTGGGCACCACTGCCCTAAGAAAATATTCAGATTCATTTATAATATGCTAACGAGATGAGAAATGTGACCACTGGTACTGTATTAAAGATGATTTTTGCACCTCAGATGCATTTTTGTTATGCTTCATTTTTTAAAGAGTTCATCAGTAGCATCAGAGCATCCTAAGCACACTCAGAAATCCAGCCAGAGGTCCCTCCTTCAGCATTATGTGAGTGCAGCACTCACGTCACAAACAGTTATATCTGTCTATCTATTTATTGATCTATAGATGTCTATATCTAGATATGACTATTTGTGACATGAGTGCTGCACTCACATAATGCTGATGTAGATAAATCACAAATGCCACATCCAGATGTGCAAGGATGCGCGCCTACAATGGCACAAATAGTAGCGGTACAAATTTGTGCCACTACTTTGCATCACAGCGCATGCCCTTGCACATGCTTTCTGTCCAGATAGAGATATCTATCTTACATAGATAACTAGATATATGTATGTATACATATGTGGTGATTGAGTGGTTAATGCATTTGTCATTAGAAGATGGCTTTAAATACCAGTAGTGCTGCAGCTTTCAAAGTAACTTTGAAGGAAAAATATGCACCCAGTAAAAAAGAGGAAAAAAAACAGGAGAGAGAAGAGAAAGGAGGAAGAGAAAGGGAGCTTTTATAATAAATGTGGGGTTTGCAGGCAGGGGTAAGAGAAAGAAAGGGGACGACATGGTTCAATGGAACAAAAATATGAAGCAATTAAGGGTTATCAAAATTAAGTTACTGATAACCTTTCCTTAATTGTTATTGTCCTTAAATTGGAGGCTTAAGGCCAAGAGGCTATTTAGCCCAGAATATGGTTTTTACCTTAAAGCACTCTCAAGTTAGACACAAATAAGTGTTGTACTATGCAGATTTAACTGAAATTGAAAGTAATTCAAATCAAAGCAAATTAATTTTGTTGCAATGTTTAGCCTCAAAATCTAGTTTTTATAAATAGGCCTTAAATTAATGTTCTGAAAATTGAAGTGTTTTTCACATAGTGTATATAATAGAATGTCTTCCCTTAGAGTATCAATATATACAGCTTTCAAGCTTGCTTAGTCCTCAATTTTCTCTCAATGCATTGACATATATTGGACAATTCAAAGAATAATAAATAACGCATCAAAATTCTGTTACATGATGTGGCAATGACATCAGAAACTAACGTTCATCTGTTGACCTTATTTTCTTCAGAGCTGAGCCAATTCATAGATTTTTTTCCCCAAGTAACAGTCAGTTTAGACCAATGAATCAAGGTGTAAAACATAATATTCTTCTAATTTTCAGAACAAAAATATTTGTACAACAACACCACAACCATACAAATATTATCCAAGATTTCAATCTCCTCTGAAAGAAGCATCATCAGACATGATAGGTGATCATTTGGGACCTGATCCTTTGCAGTGCTAAGCATAAAATCCTGATTTTAAAGATGGCACAGTGCTTTGCAGTATCTGCATTAGTTGATGTCACATTAACTTAGTGCTAGCCAGCTCATGGGGTCTGCTTCAGATCCATCAGTCTGTATAAAATTAGGTCTAGTGATTTCCCATCCCCCATGGACACTTCAATTCAATATAAAAATCTGACACCACTAAGCTCATTAAAACAATGGCTAAAAGGTCAAAGTCTAACTGAAATAGGAGTGTGGGTACATCAGCGTTTTATACCCTACAGTCCTTCAAAACCCATTTATAACAGCTATAGGTCAAAACATTTTGATGATGGGGGCACAGAGTATGTGAATAACTCCACCTATTGGCTCTGATATCTGGTTTTAATTGATTTAACTGCCTTCATTTTCCTCCAGTCAGTTAGGTAGATTGACAGCTCTCCAGTACAGTTCAGGCTTCTATGCAAGTTATTATCCAAGGCAAAATAATTAACGTAAAGGGATTTTTAATGTACAGGGATAACTAATGTAAATGTACATAAAGGGATTCCCCATTGTAGGAAGGAACGTTTCAAAATTGCATTTTTATTTTGTTAAAGCAAAACATAGTAGTGTTTTGAGGGGTGGGTTCTGACCACAGGACCACAAGGATGGGAGCTAAGAACACAAGTTTTAATACTAGGTTTAACACCAAAACCCTCTGCAGTCTTGTACAATTCAATTAAATTCTCTGCATCAGATTCTTCACCCATAAAAATGGGCTAATTATAGCTATTTATTCCACATGGTGTTGTGAGGTTTAATGTTTGTGAAGCTCTTTGAAGAAGGGAAACACTATAAACATATAAAAAGGGGGGGGGGGTTCGGTTCTCTGTCAAAGGATAGTAGACAAATAATTTTGCAGAAAAACTCTGTCACATCTTCTTGGAAAATATACTTACTTCTAGCCTTTGAACAACTTCTCTGATGTCCTCAGTACAATTATCCACTGCAGAAAGAAGAATACATTCTCCTCTTTCATAAAAGATTTTGATACTCATTAATCCAGATGTCCATCCAATCACATCTCTGCAGGAGCAGTTAAACACAACATTTTTTGACTCCTTTTCAATCAACATAATAAATTCATTGGAGATTCCAAGGAGACATTCTATGTCTGCAGACTGGCCAAAGTCTCGAGCATTCACATTCCACATAATTGCACCAACACTAAATAAATGTGCATCTTTTCTTGGTTTCACTTTCTCTTTCTTCTTTGCCCCGAGGGTAATAAAACTGAATTTTGCTGAAGTATCCACTGTAGCTGTTGTAACAAAATTTTCAGCCAGATCTTTTAGGTATTCTTGACGTGTCCTGGTGGCCATGGCTCGGAATTTTTCAGATTTGTGGGCTGCATTTTCAGCATTAATAACTTTGGCTAAAAGAAAGTCCCTAAAGACTGCCGATTTGGGGAAAGTTACTCCTTTAGGGATGGGTGGACCAAATGCTGGCACGTCTTTTGATCTTGAAACTCCAACACTGTAAATGAGAAAGATGCGATGTTCTAGGTTAGTTGCAAAGTCATGTACCTCTTAGATTTCTGGTTTGAGGATGTCATCCTCACTTCCTGGCCTAGTTGTGGAAGCAGATAATAATCAATCATTATATATGTCAAATCTGCTATTGCAAGAACAATGCAGATTACTTTTTTATATTTTAAAGTTTCTCAGCTTTACAAATAAAAAGTAAAAATAATTAGAGACCGTCCTAAATTTCCTAAATATATTGTATTTGACTATAGTTATTTGGTGAAACAAACTTTTCATGGGGATGCTCCATTTTCATAAAACTTCCATCTACATTTCGCACCTCCAGGATAAAATTTTGGGTCAAAACCAGATAGACACCTTCCCCAGGATAGGCAGTAGCCTGGTAGTCGGAACACTCACCTGGAACATACTTCAAGTCCCAGTTGCCAATTATATTACATTGCTTTTTCACAGAAAAAATTGAAACATCTCAGGTTTGTCCCAATGATTAGGAGAGGTTTTGAAATACCTCTTTCATGGGGTAGGAAAATAGTTTCCAACTCAGCTCTACTAATAAGTGTAATGTCATAATTTGCCAGAAACTCAGCTTTAAGAGTACTCAGAATATAAAACCTAGGATATTTGGAAAGCAGTAAAGGATCAGCATTTAGAGAAGGGTTCAGTTACTAAGCCATGATCATTTGTGGTTTAAGTTTAGAGGTTTGTCATCCATTTCAAGGACATTCCCTGAGGCCCTAAAACTAATAAATATCCAATCTTCCAATTCTTTCAATCCTCAGCCAGGTTTTAAGTATGAATCTGGCACTGAGGGAGAGGCCACTGGTGACAGGTACATGTGTATGATAGGAGCATTTGATTAGGTTTTTTGGGGCTGTCTAGCTTAAACGATGGAATTGAAAGATAACTTAAATCTTCATTTTGGAGCACTAAAAACAAAAAAATGTAGGGAGTGATATTCCAAGGCAAACAAAAACATCTTTAATACATGATCATAAACACAACTGACATTTTTATAAGCTGTTTTAACTGAAAGGGCTTAAATATACTCTACAAACTAAGCAGAGAGCCTACTTATACTATGACTGAAACATTCACATACAAGATCACGCATTATAAGCATTACCAAACACACATGAAAGAAAAAAAGTTGCTTATGAAATATGATCTGGATTAATTAGTTCAGACAAACAACTTGGTTTTATGACCTATCAAAAGAGTGATATGGTGTGCCCCAGCAATTTGCTAAATCATTAACTTAATACCAAGTAATTAAAAAAAAGGAACAGGTCTACCCACTAAAACAACAATTCTTTCTTGAAACACTGAGGTGCTTCTTGAAGTACTCCCAGGTAAATCATCAACTGGCTTCATCCTGCTTAGTTTCCTAGAACTTGCAGCACAAATTCATGTGGCAGCAAGAGTTGGCACATTGTTAATTTTGGAACCTAATGCCAATGCCTCTACAGAGTGTAAGTACTTCAGAAGAGAGACTTTTATTAGTCTTGTATAATGCTAAGTATAGATATTAAGCATCTTATAAAATGGCTCAACTAAAGGACACTGCTTTCCTAAAAAAAGGAAGTTAATAATAAAAAACAAAATAATCTCCATTGTTATACTTATAACTCTTATTTTGACAACCTGGCCTCCTTTTTCTACACCCATAGATCACCTAAGCATATCTACACATCCTCAGGTATGTCTACAATATTGTGCCCATTAATACATATATGATAACTGTAATTCATTCACAAGCATAATTTAACTGATATTATGATTCCCCAACATACCTCTCCTCTTCCCCTGTAATTACCAAGTCCTAATATCTGCTCGCTACTGGATAGACATGCACCGTTACATCGGTTTGATAGTGGATCAGTTCTGATATAAAGAAAGTTGGCTGCATCAGAAAACCGCCCAGAAGTGGCTGATAAATATCTGTGTGCGCGTGCAACTGCAGCGCAGCACACAGGCAGCAAGGAGCAGAGCCCAGCAGTGCACAGCTGGTAAGTCTGTTGTGGTGGAAGGGGAGGGGGGATAGAAGGGTCATGGGGGGCAGATTAACACCCCCTGTGGTGAGGGAGGCAGGGGGCACAGGTAAGTGCTGCCTAGCCAGGATGGGGCAGGCACGGGATGGAGTCGTGGTTCACTGGGTGCGGGGGCGGCTCCCACCACTGCGTGCACCCTGGGAGGACACAGGGGGAGAGGAGGCCATGTGCTCCGGATCAAGGCAGGTGTGCTGCAGCTGTGGGCTGGAGCCGGGGCTATGCTGTGCTCTTCTTGGCAGGGGCTGGGGTCTGGGTGGGCAGCGGCAGCACTGGGAGCGGGGCTACGGAGGGGGCTGAAGCCACTCCAAATTTCACGGTAGCCCTGCTCCCAGAGCTGCCACCGCCTGCCTGGTGCAGCCCTGGCTCTTCCTGGCACATGAAGGGAGGCCAGGGCTACGGGAGCCCAGCCCCAGCTGAGAAGAGCCCAGCTCTGCCCCACCTCCATCCCACAGCTGCAGCCCGCCTGCCCCGATCCAGGGGCACATGTCCCTCCTCCCCACCATGCCCTCCCAGGGTGCACACAGTGGTGAAAACTGCTGTTCCACCCAGACAATCTGTGACTCCAGACCGCACCTGCCCCACCCTGGCTGGGAAGCGCCTGCCCCTGCCTCCTCCCACCCTCACTGTGGGGGGCAATGATATTCCTCCCACAGGACCCTTCCCTCCCCCCGTTCCCCTTCCACTACAACACACTTACCAGCTGCATGCAACTGTATCAGAAGTCGGATCAATATTGGCTAATATACCTTCTTAAGTACTGGCTATTAGTATCAGCCCTCAAATTCTCTATCAGTGCACCCCTACTACTGGATAATTCAGTATTTGAAATCCCATAAAAAAGCAAACTAACTAAAATTTACTGTACGTACAGAAGAGGCAGCTAGGTTTTAAAAATTACTTCTAAAATTGAAGAAAAAATGAGTTTGACTCTCTCAAGGATATATAAAATTGCTAGATGTTCCACTGGAGTCAAATGAGCACATTTAGAACTTAATACATATCTACTCACCTATAGCACACATTCTCAGTGCAAGGATTATGCACTTTGACTATAACAAACACATGTTGAAAGTGAGAACGAATATTTTTTGGAGTAAAAGGAAGTGCTCCAGGCTCTTGGAAGACAATGGTAACAATATCATTTCCTATATGCCTTTTCCTTAGAAGCTACAGATGAGAAACAGGCATTAAATGAGTTAGTTATGAAACAATATTTTAGTTCATAGCAGCAAAAACAATTGACAGCTTAATTTAAAAAATAGTGTCACTTTGGAGAGATTATTTTAATGCTCGTGTCCACTGTGGGTGCCTACACTGCAATGCAGTACAGTACAAAAATACTCAGATTAGCTCTAAACGAACTAACTTAAATACCAGAAATAGTAGAGCTGCATTAGCCCCATCAAAGTTCTCTTCTAATCCACCCTAATATTACATACTCCGTTAAAATCAAAGGTAAAAAAGTTAGCTTGTATAGTGTTCTGTGCTAACTAAAGTATGCTACTTCTAGTACTTGAACTAGCTTATTTAGCTATATGAGCTGCATTGCAGTACTGTGTGGACATACTCTACCCAAGTTATAGCCATAGGAAACTGGGTAGGAAAGAGGCTGGGGCGGACGATGACAAAAACTGGGCTAAACTGATAAATTTACCCTGACTGCAGATACCTACACTCTTATCAGCAAGTGCAAAAGCAGCAGGGAAGGCTGTGGAGCAAGGTGCTGCTGAGGGGGACATGAGGTTTAGCATAACTATGTGATGCACAATCCTCTGTGCTTTCCCAGGAGGGATCCAACCTATTCACAGGCCAGATCCAACCCACGAACCATAGCTTGCTGACCTTTGTTCTAAATCAGCCACACCCAAACCTTTTTGCCTTATGGACTGGATGACTGGTGCCAAGTCTGTCTGCACACTGAATGCAATTCATCAGCTTGATCTGGTGACTGTGGGGGGTCCTGCCTGGCCTAGCCCATGCTGGGGCCCAATGCAGTTGTGTGGGGCTTGGAAATTTGGGAGCACTGTAGTGGCAGTGTTAATTGCCAAATGCTGCCAAATTTCCAGAACCGTGGGAAGCCCACAGACCAGATGACATGGCTCCGCAGGCTGGATCCAGCCCGTGGGCTAGGGGTTGAGCACTACTGCTCTAAATCACTTGCCTTGCTTAGTTACGTCAGAAATAATACTTCAGACATCTAAAAAAAACAGGCAGAGTTATACTATTGTTTACATATCAATAGCAAACAATAGTATAACTCCATTTGCCAAAAATAGGCCAAATATTAATAGAAGAGATGCATTTATAGGTTTCATTGTGCCCATCAATACAGTGGTTACTCAGAAGCCAAGGGCAAGGTCCGAATAATGATGTTTGGAAGCACTCAATTAACAAAAATGTATAACCTTTAAATGCATTCAAAATATCAGTACAGCTAATAAAGGAAAAGACTGACCAGTGATAATACCCAGAAAAAGATTGGCCAAATATTAATTTCCAGTCTAATAAGTAATGTAATATTTCCAATTTATCAGAGAGTAAAGCCATGATAAACAACTGCTTAAGCAACTTAAGATGTACATTCACTGCATATAAATTACGTTAGAAATTCATAATCAAGAATTTATTATTATTATATTAGATAGGCGAGGAAAAATGTAATTTGTTTAACTGCTGAACACTGCAGCTATATGCGAATGCTCAAGCCCGAATTCATATTTAGAGGTTATCGCTGCCTTACAGGTCCAAAGTTACATGGTAGCTGAATTAGTGTCAGACCTCCCAATTAACAGCTACTGTAAGGACACCAACATTTTAGTGTGTATATTACTGTTACTGTGCAGCTGGTTCTAGCCAATTATTCCTTTTTGTTAGGGCAGCACTTGGGCCTATTTCTGTCCCTCTCCATGGGGGCATTTAAACTGCAAGTTAAAGCAGCAACATACTTGTAAGATTGGATTTAGTACGTTACCAAGGTAACCATCATCTTGTAAGCATATTCTTGTTCTTTGTAAACATGATAAAATGTTTTTGGAGGTGCTAGTTAAACTGAAAATAATTGTAGGGCTTTCAGCAAAAATGGGAGTCACTTACTGAGAGAAAAGTCTAAGGAGTTTTTGAAACAAAAGCTCTATATTGGGAATGGTAGTCCTTTACAAGGAAGCTGGTTGACATTAAAGTTCTTAAACCTCTAGACATCTCAAAAGACATTAAATATGAATTTAAAGTCAATCAACATTCTTAAAACCTTACCAAGCTTGTTGACATCTGAGTAACTTCTTCGGCATTTTGAAACAAAGTCAAATGTAACGCTACCATTATAAAATGTCTACCATGCATACACAGTCAGTGAAGTGCAACACAATATGAGTGAAGGCAAGAGAGTGATGTCTGTGTACAAGGGGTCAGAATGCAAAGAACCGGAAAGGGGCAGGAGAGAAATAAGTTGTGGGTAAACTGGAACATGGGGGGGGAAGTGCTCAGAACAGAAGGAGCAGTTATTGAATGGAGAAAAAAAAGTTGAAAACTTTATCTGGAAAGCATAAATAATGAGAGTAGACTGAAAATGAAAGAGGAATTGATAGAAACTACGCTAAGTTGAAAAGTTTACCCATTCACCTTTGCCCCTTCCACCTAATCTCTCTTTCCAGCTTTCTTCCCCTAGCCACTTTCAAGTTCAGTTTCCTCTTCCATTTCCATGTCTGTTCTGTTTATTCATTTGCCTTTCTAACATATTATGAAGATACTCATACCAAATACTAGAGTACACTAGGCATTTCTCAAGAGTGTATTTCAAGTCACAAAAGAGGACACACCAGACAATCTGACATCACTCTAGTATCAAATCTAGCTTGGTATGGTACAATGTAAAAATGAACCAGTAAAATGTAGTCAGCAGTCAGTAAGAAATCAGTTGTATACAAGAATTTGGGAAAACAAAAGGGAATCTAGTCAGGAGAATGTGTTAGAAAAGCACAGTTTGTTTAATTAAAAAAGATATTAGTTACTGTACTGAACAGGAGATCATAAACACAACAGTTAACTCTAGCTTTCAGAAGTAAAAATGTATCTGAAGGAAAAATATGGGCCATCTTAAAATGTAGTGCTCTTACGGGCTACGTAAAGCCATACCAACCTATCCCTGTCTGTGTAATTTCGACTGCCGGTTGAACGTAGGAAACAACAAGGGATTCTTGTTGTGATCATTGGCTTAAAAATATCATTCTTCATTCAATTCAGGGATGAAATGTGGAGACAGTACAGATAAGGAAACCTTCAAACTTATTTTAGTACGCATCTAAAATAAGTGGCTGAAAAATTCCAATTTGTATTATGTTTCAACACAATGAAAACAAATGCTAAATGATTTTTCAAATCAGACCTGGTTAAACTGAGTTGAATATATATCTGTATGTGTCTGATTTCACCAGCAAATAATCTTATGTTTAAATGAAATCACACATTAATCTAGGTTTTAGGTTTTGTTTATTAAGATTGAAATGTAGTGTGTGAAATGATTTGAATTAATCAGGTCTGACGATATATACGGAAGCAGACTGCAAATATGGGGAGAGGAAACTTGCAAGGGTATGATCTGGAAAGGGACTTTTGTAAGGGTAAAGTTTAAAGGGAAAGCCTTGAACTACAAGTTGAAGAGAAGGCCAATAAAAGAAGAAGGAACTGGCCACACCAGGGCTGGTAATCCTCTCTGTCCTATGGAAGGAGCAGCTGAATTGAAGGCCCCAGCCTATGTTGCAGCCAAAGTGAAAATTACCTTGCTCTTTGGATCTCCTGCTGGCTCTAAAACTAGAGGGATGTCCTGATCAGTGACCAAGCAGGGCGTAGTTAAGTCCTGGAAGAAGCAACAGACAGTTCTGGTGTGGCCTATTTCTGGCTCACAGGTATCTGAAATCTAACAAAAGCTTGTTGCCTGCTCATTGGAGGTATTTTTCCAAAACGTTGAAGAATGCCTCAACACCTCAACCAGTGAACACAAGAGGCTGAACTCAGAATGGTGAGGGCACAATCACTTCAGCATCAGTATATGCCCCATAGGCTGGTGCAACATGTAAATGGTTTGGACTCCTCTGTTGCTGTTAGTACCTAAAAACAGAGGTTGCTATGCTTCCTGTTCTCTCCCTACTTGTGTATGTAGATATAATGAGCCAAGTCCTGCTGAGAAAGAAGTACTTATATGCCACAGGGCTTGTAAGCCTCTCTGTGCTGAAGATGAAATTGCAACAGTGGTCTTGAGACTCCTAGATGTCTCAAGGGAAACACTCTTTATTCTAATCAGGTTTCTTCCTAACTTATGAGAGATACCACTGTAGATACATTGCATATTTCAATACATATTTTGGTATTTACACAGAGAAAGAGCACAAGATAAACATTTATTAATGATCCTTTTTACACATTAAGGCTGGCTAAATTCTGGGTATTTGGGTGCATCTGGCACACCTTATGGAGAAGGTGTCCATGCTGTGCAAGTATTGCTGGATTCCAGCATTTAGAAAAAATAATGTGGTGGGTCTTCAGGAATGCATATTGCTTCAACTTAGAAAACGGCCACATTATTCTGATCCCAAGATAACCATGGATCACAATGTGATACTGCTGCTAAGTACCAAGACTACCAAGACTGTAAGAGGTACAAAGACTGATGGGTGTTTGCTAAAACATCGTGAAAGGGAGTGTTTGTTGCTGGGGAAAAATCATGGAATTGAAACTAGAAGATATTGGAATTATATCAAGATTGGGCATCTACCTAGAAAGGAAGACACATAAGGGAGTGTCAGGGAAAGGATGAAAGGGAGATGAAGGAAGAAGTAATAGGACAGTGGTAGGGGTGGGCTGAGCAATGCAGGAGTGCTGGTGACAAGCAGCAAACAATAATGAAAATTAGTGGATCAAGGTTAAAGGATTTTCTATGCTCACATATGAGGGCAACTGAAGAAAGACACAATAACAATAAAATGACACACTTCAAGTAAGGTTCTGTCTCCTGTCAGTGCCTGTGGTGACCTCTGAAAGTATTTATTTTTGAAACCAAGCTCATGCAGTATATTATATCTTGCTGCAATGCAACATCTATTCTGCATCTGCATTTTACAAATTATATTAAATAACAAAGTATGGTGATATCTTTGAAACTGTTTTTCATAGAAATTCATCACCTCGTTCTCCAATTTCTTCTTTTTTAAATTTATAAAGGATCTATGGAAAATGTACTGTATGTTTTTAAATCATGAAAAACTGGTTATTTCCACAAGTAAGGCCAGGTTAAACAAAGCAAATTTTAATGACAGAGAATGAAATATGATGACTCTCTAGTCAAAGTGATTACTACACAGCGCTTACTAAATAAAAGACTCTAACATCACAGTAAGAAATGTATGAAGGTTCAGAAAAGTGAAGGTGTCACCAAACAGTGAGGGTGGGCTGGTATTTGGCTACTAGCTATTGGCACAACTAAAAATTATGCAATTGCTGAGCATGTCATTCAAAAGCACTGCAGATGTCCTACTCCTGCAGAAGCAGATACAGAATACTAGAGCAAAAAGTCATAGGTTCAACAACAAACTGATCTATGAATAGCTCTTCTGTTAGCTTTTCTTAAGTGTTCGATGTGCTGTACCAAATGTGCTTTTCTTTTTCAACTCAATCGCAAAAGAATATTCATGCTCAATGATTTTATGAGTCAGTACAGGCAAAGACAGAAATAACCTTACTCAGGGTTCCGCACACTTTGGATGCCGTGTTGTTTTTAGCCATCCTTAATGCTTTAAGATAATTCTGAACTGTAATGTAAACACTGAGCATTTTTCAGACATAAAATGAGTTTGTTGCACAAATTTCTGCCTCTACCATCAAATGCCATAAAAGATAAAGGTGAGGCATTCATTATTAAAACAGCAGATTCATAAAAGATTTGAAAACTGCAATAAAAAATTAAAATTATTCAGAATAATTTCAAAACCTTATTACATACTTTAATCATATGAGTGATCTAAGTCAAGTTTAAAGTTTTAGAAAACTTTTATTCTCCATAGCTATCAATAAAGGATAACGGTTGTTTAATACAATCATATGATGGAAAAAGTGAGAGAAGTTCCTGAATTAAAGACTAATTAAAAAATTCTATAAGCATTCTAATGTGTCAGTAATACCTGTAAAGCCAATTCTTAACATTCACAATTTACAAACACTATCAATATTGTTTTACAAAGGACTCACATAAATGCAAAATGAAAAAATTATTCAGCCCTTAAATCTTACACAATACATTACTATGAAAAAGTGAGAGTTAAGAAAACATACCTGTTGCCTATTATTAGGCATGTATGGAAGCATCGTTGATACATGAAACATTAATTCATAATCTTTATAGGTAGTATAGAGGGAATGAGTTCCTGTTGAATCCGCTGAAAACAGATTTCATTGCAAGAAGATGGTCAGTGAAACAGAACATTTATACTGTTTTTAGGACACCGTCCTTTGTACTGTATGACTAAAAATTCAGATTTTATTTATGAAACGTAGGCTAAAATGTAGTTAGCAATACAATAATGTATGAGCACCAAAAGATCTATCCCTTAATCTCATATTTTTATTTATCAAATAAATAAAATAGGCCCCTGGTCCCTGAAAGAAACTGTCCATATTGAGGTCCTTGCAAGATTGGGTCCTGAAGTTGCTTCATTTTGAAGAGGTGCTGCAGGTTCTTAGCACCTTGTAAAAATGAAATAAAATAAAAATCAGCTTTTTTTTTTTTTTGCTACCTAACTATAAAAAGTTAGCTGGCTAGCTTCAGGCTTGAACAAAGGCTTATATTTTTTTAAGCTTTGCCAAATATTTTGTTTTTCAAAACACACAAACAAATCAAAATAGTTAATAATCACACA